GCCCGCTGCGCACCCCGCTGCCCGACAGCCCCGTGCCCGCTGCGCACCCCGCTGCCCGACAGCCCCGTGCCCGCTGCGCACCCCGCTGCCCGACAGCCTCGTGCCTGCGCACTGGTGGCGCTGCAACCACATTTCGGCTTCTGAGTCTAGAGTAATAGACGCGACGCTGCGCGCACGCCCCACGCATGGCGGCGCTGAGCAGGCCGCTCCGGATTCGGAGGCTTATTCGAGGCTTCTTCGTAATGTGCCTGAGTTACATCCCGCCCTCCCCCGGAAGTGCCGAGTGTACAGGAACTTGGGGACTGAGCAGGCCCAGTGCTGATGGCCGCCCAGGCCGGCCTTCCGCCTTCGCGCTGCATGGCCCGCCCTGGAGGGGACGCTCCTGGACGACGACGCCACGCGGACCGGGAAGCCGAGGGATCGTGGCGAGCGGGAGTCCAGGGCACTGTTCCATCAGAAGCCGTCTGTGGGAGCCCCTGGCCCGGGCCCGCGTCCAGTCCCCCTGCCACGGCGCAAGCCGACGGCGAGGGCGCAGCTGCACCGCCGAAGCCCACCCCACCTGGGCGGCGACCGGGCTGCCAGGCGGGCCGCAGCAGGGGAGCACAAGCTTAGGGCCAACAGCGGGACGCCCGGCGACGCGACGAGGGCGGCGAGGTCGGGCTGAGCGCTCCTTCTCCCGCTTCGCATTCTCCTCGCAGGCACCGCCCGCTGTGCAGTCGGGTCTGAAGGAGGACGCGGGAGCCTGCAGATGCGCCCACGTCTCGTGGAGAACCGCGTGCATGCAGAACCCGCTGGCCAGCTTCAGTCCTTGCGTTCTAAACCAAGAAGAACCGGGAGGGCAGTCGGCCTGCCAGTGGGCCCCGCTGCTCAGGCCGGAGCCGCGGAACTGCCGGGGCCCGCGGGTGGGGGCAGCCCCAGCACCACGCCGAGACGCCGCAAGACGCAGCAGCGGCCCGGAGCTCGCCCGCGTCCCTGTGTCCACGATCAGAACAGCCTCCATCCTCCGCGCCCCTCGGGTCCGTCCTTGGTGACGGCACCAAGCCAGGGCAGAGGCCTCTGTGGGCAACGGAGTCTGGGACGGAACACGTCCGGCATCTGTAAGGCCCGGAACTCGGGGCGGCGGGCCAGCCCCGACACCGGCTGGACACCGGCTGGGCACGCACGGCACATGGCCCCAACACGGCCAAGTTGTTTTCCTACTTTAAAGAAAAAATAAATAAATAAAACCACCAAAACGTCGCCCCTTGCATTGAGCCCAGGTGTGCGCTCCTCGGAGCTGCGTCTCGGCGTTTTCTTTCTTGTGGGACAGGGCCTCATCACATTGGCCAGAGGGGCCGCTGCTGTATTACCTCCCCATCCTTCCACATCGCTGACAGGTCTCTGCCACCGGGCCTGGCACCACAGGTGTCCCTCAGCCCGGCAAAACCCTGTCTCAGAATTTAAAACCAGAAAAGCAGCCAGGATGTAACTCAGTGCAGAGGCCCTGGAGCCTTCCTGGGCACCCACAAACCCGACAAGGAAACTGACCCATCCATGGAGTGTCTCAGCGGGCTGAAACAGAAATCCGGGTCACTGCCTGCCTCCGACTCACTTTGTGCCTTAGGTATTAGCGGTGTAACATGTTAGGCTGTAAAGCTGCACAAAGTGAAAGCAACAGAAGGGAATTACAGCAAGAAACCGCACACAATTTAAAAAAAGAAAAAGCAGGCCAGGCACGGTGGCGCACGCCCGTAATCCCAGCTCTCCGGAGGTTGAGGTTTGAAGCCAGCCGCATGCCGCTATCCGCTGGCCACAAAGACGCAGGGCCGCCACGGCGACCACGGGTGCGTGGGTCACGCGGGGAGGAAGCCCCACCCTGCAGCCTGCAGAGGAGGGGGCGGTGGGGCTGTGCGCAAGGGCGGGCCGCTGCACCTCACCCAGGGTCTGGACACGGGCGCACTAGGCCAAGCACTGCTAAGGGACGGAGCAATGAGAACTAGAACAGGAACTGTCACCTGGGCGACTAAGAAACTGAGTTACACCGGCTGGGAGGAGGGGGCAGCTTCCGCTGCACTTGGCATGGGGCCCGGCAGCAAGGCCAGAACCGCGCCCCCCAGCCCTAGATCCCAGGAACACCTCCACCCAGGCCCGCCCCAACCCCACTTTGTAATCCCTGGGATGGAGAGAAAAGCTACAAATCCTGTCCCAGCAGCTGCACACAGTGTGCGCATCCAGCTCTGTCGGCAGCCCAGCCGCAAAAAGAAATCACATTTTTATTTTTGTTTTGAGACAGGGTCGCAGTTTGTATTCCAGGCTGCCTTTGAACTCACTATGTAGCTCAGGCTGGCCTCAGACTTGCAGCGATCCCCCTGCCTCAGCCTCCTGAGTGCTAGGATTATAGGCGAGTGTCCCCACGCCCAGCATAACGTCTTTCAAATCACCTTTGTTGCAGATATTGGCAGTTTTAAAGCCCCTTCAAAACAATTGACACAAATCAGTAGTGCAGTCATCTTAGCTATCCTGGGTATATACTTACATGTTTTCCTTTTTCAGGAAATAAAAAGGACAAGGGAAAAATATGATTTACCGAAAGGAAGAGTTAATGTTTAATTGTTGGATCAATCTTGCATGCCTATATCTGGTAATATGAGCAACAAATTTGATAACAATACCTAATACAACAACCACTGTTAAGTTTCTATTCTTGTTTTGGAATTGCACACTATTTTAATTTTATGTTGCTTTATTTTTGTCTTTGTTCTTTTATTCTCTTTAAAAAATAAAAAGAGGGCCCGGGGAGATGGCTCAGTGGAATAAGCGCTTCCCTGGCAAGCGCAAGGGCCGGAGTTCAATCCCCGGTCCCACAAAAAAACCCCAAAACCACTCAAAATTAAAAAATAAAAGAAAAACTTTAAAATCCCAAATGTGTAATCATTTGGTAATATGAATATTTTTCTCAGAGGCCAGGTGGAGAAGAGCCCTCTGCGCCAGCAGCTCCGGGTGTCACGCACGCTTCCACGTTCGCCACCAGGGGGCAGCAGAGCGCCGCCCTGCGGGGCTCGGGGCTCGCTCGTCCAGTCCCGGCTGGGGAGGCCCCGCGTGGGTCGCGGATGCTCCCGCTGGGGTCCGGCCTGCGCCCCTTTCGCGTCGCCGCCATTTGCACTTCTAACCCCAGTATTCCGAAAGGGAGTCGCGGGTTGCAGCCGCTTTGACTGGGGGCGCTGCGCCCCTTTGAACTTTACAGTCTTCCCCCCAGTCCGCATCACTGACTCCCCGGGAAGCCCGTGGCCTCCTCCCTCTGGCACCGGGGTTCAGGCGGGCAGGCGCGCGCGGTCTGACCACTGCGGTCGGCCACATGGACTCGCGCTTCGCCCGTTTTCCCGTGATGGCTCGCGCTGCGCCTTCTTCGCAGCAGAGTAGTATTCCGCGCGCGTGGGCCTGACCTCCGCGCGTGTGGACCTGACCTCCGCCTCCTGGGTCCCAGTGAGCTGCGCGGTTTACGGGCAAGTCCGCCTCGCTGCAGGCTGTAGCGCGGGCCCGCAGGGGGCGCCCGCCGCCCGCTCTTCGGTGTACCAGAGCCCGGCGTTGCAGGCGTCCGCGGCGCGCAGGCCCGGCGGGCGTCGCGGTTCGGCTCCGCTCGGCTCTCGGCTCGGCTCGGCTCGGCCCAGCCCAGCGACCCCGCCCCGTCTGCCCGCCCGCAGCGCTTCAGCCGACCACCTAGGCCGCCGCCCCCTTGTCACTCAAGCCGGGAGACACGCCCCTCCCCACTTTTGACCAATGGCGGCTGCGGAAGCCGCATAGTAATGAGCTCGAGACCCACGCCGGCCAATGGCGCGGACGACTCGGGCCGCGATTTGCATGCGGCCGTGCGGGCTCGGCGAGCGCGCGGAGGGCGGAGGGCGGAGGGCGGCGCGGACGCGAGGGCGGCATGGCCGGGTCGCC